CGAACCCGCGGGCTCAGGCCATCCACTCACCTCAGCCTCCTAAAGGCACGGGATTACAGGCTGAGCCACCGAGCCCGGCTTCCAATTATTTCGAAGCAACTCTCTAGGCTGAAACAAACACGTTTTAGAGGGATTCCCCAGCCTGGTTTGCATCTCAGGGGAAGGGGTGACTTTCCAGAGCGGCGCAGAGACAGAGCGAGCCAGCTGTTGGCATCCCGGGTCTGAGGCTCTCCTGAGGCCTGGGGGCGCTGAGTGCAGCCTGGGGGGTGGGCGTCCTGGACCCCAGCTGTGGGTGACTGGCCGACGAGCCTTGGGTTTCATGACATCCCACATGGCCAGGGCCCTGCGTCCATTTCGCGGAGCAGAAACCCCAGACTCCGAGAGGTGCAGGGGCTGGTCCTGGCAGTCACGAGGCCTGTGCACCCACAGGGCACGGCTCGGTGCCCCTGTGGCAGGTGCCACGTCAGCCCAGCCCTGGCACCCCGAGGACGGAGCAAAACAGAAGCAGTCGGCTCCGCCGCCCACACCAGCCCCGGCCTCCTCTGCCTCTGGTCCTGGCTCAGGCCAGCCCCTCTCCCCAGCAGGCCTCAGTTTCCCCAGCGGGGCACCAGCACCGGGGAGGGTGGGTACAGCCAGGCCTGCAAGAGGTGCGTCTGGGGAGACCTTCCTGCCTGGCTTCCCGAGCCTCTTCGTACTCCCCAGGCTTGGACGAGTGTGGTCTCGGGCCTCTGGTGCAGCGTGGGGTGGGGCGGCGGCCTGCTTCCCGGGTCCTCCTCGGGCTTGGGGTACAGCCCTCGACCCCAGCTGTGCCCGGCCCCACGCGCCAGGCAGGTCTTGGGCTGTCAGCGCCCGGTCCCGGCCCCTGTGGTCCCGGCCCCAGCAGGATCTTGAACACCTGGCCCGTGTAGGGCAGGGTCCCGTTTGGTTTTCCTGTGGCCGAAGGGGGTGTTGCTGTTGGCTTTTCCCGGTTAACGCTGCTAAGCTGTTTAATCTTTAGGGCCTTCCAGCCCTGGGTGGGGGGCGGGAAGGGCAGCCAGGTCACCCCACACCGCCACGCCGACAGCACAGGAGTGGCCCGCAGGGCAGGTCTCCTCACGCCCCCAGCGTCTGGCCAGTCCCTGGGCTCTCTCCCAGCTCTGCCTCCGTCCGCTGCCTCTCTGAGCCTCAGTTTCCCTTCTGCCCCGTGCGCCTGAGCCGCCCTCACGGGCGTAGGGAGCAGCCTCTGGGCACGCAGCCCCCAGGGGATGCGTGACTGTCTCCTCGGCCTGTGGGTGGGGGCAGCGCAGGGGTGGGTGCTGGAAGTACCAGCCGGGCTGGCACCCCCAGGCTCTGCGCATCCACGTTGGGGTGAGCCGCCTGCTCCGGCCCTGAGCGGGCTGCCCGCCCTGGCACAGGCGCGGTGTCGACAGCCGGGTCTGCATCCTGGACGCTGGGGACTGGCCATGCTCTCCCCCAGCGTGATGCGGCGGGATCCCCTGCTCTCGGGTCGCGGGCGTGGGCATGGGCCAGCCGGGATCCCAGGACGCGCCCCATCCTACTCACCTCTCCGTCCCCCCGCAGATGTTCCCGCTGCCCGTGGCCAATGGGAAGGGCCGGCCCGCAGCCCTGGCTGGCACGCAGTTCGGAGGCCCAGGTAGGTCCTGTGCCCCCCGGAGACTAGGGGGCTGGCTGTCGGGAGGGAGGGCGGGCCGGCGGGGCCAGCCCGGGAGCCCAGATGGGGCACCCTCTTGAGCTCTCGGGCCCAGCGTCGGCCCCGAACTGGCCTGCTTGGGTGCTGGCAAGGGCCTGCTCTGGGGACGCGTGGGGCTGGGTCCGTGGGGGTGGGGGCTCCAGCCCCTGTCAGTCGGAGGGGGATGCCGAGACGTGGGGCGGGATCCCAGCCCTCGCCGAGCCCCGCCTGCCTGCTGAGACCCAGCTCTGGCCGGTTCTGTCTGAGATGCCTTCGACGCCGACCGGGCACGGGGCTAGGCGCTGAGGTGACCAGCCGTCATGGTTTGCCCGGGGCTGGGGCGGCGTTCCTGGGGTCTGAACGTTCCGGGCTGATGGCACGGCCGCCGGGAGGACGGACGGGTGAGGCCAGAGGACGACGACTCGGTTCCGGGAGCGTGGGCAGGGCCAAAGGGACGGTGAGGGTCGGGCAGCGCAGGGAGGGACGGCCCCAGCGCAGGCCGGCGGGGTCCTCCGAGGGGGTCGGCAGAGGCCGCAGGCGCAGCGTGAGTGCACGGAGCAGCCTCGGGAACAGGCCGTGCAGAGGCCCTGACGCAGGATGGGAGGCCGCGTAGGGGGGGCAGGAGGGGCCGAGGCTGGCCGTGCAGGCCTTGAGGCACGGAGGAGGTCTGCCTCCTGTTCCAGGGCGGCAGGGAACCACGGAGGACTCTGGGTAGCAAGGTCGGTCCTGGGAAGCCGTGCCGGCTGTGGTCTGGGCAGGGAGGCCGCGGCTCGTCCTGAGGCCGTCAGAGCCTCAGCACCCTTGGCTTTCGGTGGACTTGACCGTCTCCCTGGGCCTTGCGATTGGTCCTCCTGGGCCGTGTCCCTCCCGGCTCTGTGACGGGGTGGAAGGCTCTGTCTGGCTGTTGTCTCCGAGACCCGCTGGGGGGCTGCGGGAGGCTGGAGCTCGGGCACCCCTGCCCCCAGGGAGGCGATCTGCCAGCTGGCCTTCCCCGCTGCCAGAGGAAGTGGCTGCAGGGGTGGCCGAGCGCTCCCAGGGCGTGGAAATCCCCACCAGCCCCCCGGAAACAGCCAGGAACTGGGGGTGCTGACGCGTCCCTGCCTGGAACAGAGGCTCGGGCCCCAGGGGCTTCCTGGAGGAGGTGGTGCTGGCACCCGGCGGCCCACCCTCCTCCCTCGACCTCTGCCCTGGACTCTCAGCAGTACCTGGTGGGTGGATGGGCGGGGTGGGGAGTCTCACCTCATACCCCGAGTTCCTGAGGGGGTCTGTCGTGGGTGTGTCGCATCCTGGAGAGACGCGGCGTGCTTGTCCAGCCCGGGACGCTGCGTCTCCTGGACGCGGCAGGGAGACTCGGTTCAGTCCAAGCCATGGGCAGGGGTGCTGCCGGCAACCCCCAACTGGTCTTGGAGACGACCGCAGGACGGAACCTGCCCTGAGACCCCAGCTTGAGGAAGCCCCTCCCCGCCCCCTCCCCTCACGCCTCCAGGCCCTGGACACGGCATCACTCTCGCTGCCTGTGGCTGCTTTCCCCATCCTCAGTTTCCTCACCTGCAGGACGGGCGTCTACCCCGCCCTCGGAGGGGTCGCTGTCAGCACGTTCGTGGGTGCGGCAGGAGGGGGGATATGTGTATGTATTTTTTTTTTTTTTGGAGACAGGATCTTGCTCTGTGGCCCAGGCTGGAGTACAGTGGTGCAGTCACAGCTCCCTGTAGCCTCCACCTCTGGGGTTCAGGCAGTTCTCCCACCTCAGCTGCCCAAGTAGCTGGGACTACAGGTACCACCGTGTCCGGCTGGTTTTTGATTTTTGTTAGAGGTGAGGGTCTTGCTCCATTGCCCAGGCTGGCCTCAAACTCCTGGGCTCAGAGGATCCTCCCGCCTCGGCCTCCCAAAGTGCTGGGATCACAGGCATGAGCCAGACACCAGACCAGTTGAGCAGCTTTTCACCTTGAGGTTGTGATCGAGTCACAGGGAGGTGCAGAGGCTGTGTGAAGAGGGACACGCACCCCGCACTCTGCCACCTCCCATGGTGACAGCCTGCTTAGCAGACACATGGTGTCAAATCCAGGAAGCCGATGTTGGTACCATCTACAGGTTACTCAGCTTTCACCAGTTGTACCTGCGTGTGTGTGTGTGTGTGTGTGTGTGTGTGTGTGTGTGTGTGTGTGTGTGTGTGT